AAACAAGTCACTTCATTTCTCAAAGCTTATAAAGTAGGACTGATGAGGTCACAGATGTAATACTTTAGTCAATAAAGAAAGTAAAGATTGGGGGGAAAAGTAGGACTGATAATAATGGTTCCTATTCTGTAGAAATGAGTTAATGTACATAAAACTCTTAGGTTTGTATGCCTGGCATATACTAAATATTAATTGATTTTGGTATTTGGTAGACAGATGATCCTGGAAGAGTTTAAAAGCAGCCACCAGCCAGAGCCGCTTCCTCCAAGAGCTGGCCGCCGGACGGCCGTGACCTCCGCCACCCCCTGCCCTGCCCCCCACGCCGCCACCTGGTCAACCCACCCGGCAGAGTTTGGTAGCATACATTTTTTCATTTGAAAGAAAGATCTAGATTCAACAAAGAAGCGTCACGCCTGTCAGCTCCCTGCCCACTCTCCCTGGGCCCCCAGGGGACACTGACAGGACCAGGGGACAGGGCCAGGCCTGGGTGTGGGGCAGGACAGGCCGGTCCTCCAGAGACAAGCGGAAGTCTGTGCGGGGCCCACAAAGAACAGCCCCTCCCGCCCGAGCCCGCACCACGGCCGCCAGGGTCCTGGGCTCCGGCCGCACAGTCTTCAGCGTGTCTCCGCTTGGAGCCCGTAATTACCAAGGAGGGGGCTGGCGATGAGGAAGGGGTCCCTGGGCCGATGTCCCCCTCCGCCCTCACCCCAATCCTGAGATGAGGATACCAGGCAGCTTGGCCCCACACTCAGAGGCTGAGTCCAGAGGGGGTCCTTCCTGGCAGGTCCCTGACTCCCTGGAGACCCACCTGACCTCTGGGCCTGGGTTTCCCACTCTGCCCCTCCACACCCCATCCTCAGAGGCCCAGCCTCCCTGTCCCCTGTGCCCAGCTCCTCCCGTGGCAGGGTGCCCCACCATGCCCTAGGGCTGTGGTCGGCAGACTGCAGCTGGCGAGCCACATGCGGCTCTTTGGCCCCTTGAGTGTGGCTCTTCCACAAAATCCCACGTGCGCCCACGTACAGTGCGATTGAAACTTCGTGGCCCATGCACAGAAGTCGGTATTTTGTGGAAGAGCCACACTCAAGAGGCCAAAGAGCCGCATGTGGCTCACGAGCCGCAGTTTGCCGACCACGGCCCTAGACCAGTGGTTCTCAGCCTTGGCTGCACATGAGACTCACCTGGGAATCTGTTTAAAATCCTGATTTCTGGGCCTCGTCCTCCGGAAATTCTGTTTCTTTGTGATGGGGTGGGGCCACAACATCAGTAACAGAGAAACAGAATTTCCGGAGGATGAGGCCCAGAAATCAGGATTTTAGAAAGATTCCCAGGTGATTCTAATGTGCAGCCAAGGTTGAGAACCACTGCCTTAGGGCCTAGAGCCAGTGATGGCAAACCTTTTGAGCTCAGCGTGTCAGCATTTTGAAAAACCCTAACTTAACTCTGGTGCCGTGTCACATATAGAAATTTTTTGATATTTGCAACCATAGTAAAACAAAGGCTTCTATTTTTTATATTTATTTTCTATATTTAAATGCCATTTAACAAAGAAAAATGAACCAAAAAAATGAGTTCGCATGTCACCCTGACACGCGTGTCATAGGTTCGCCATCACTGGCCTAGACAAACTCCTCGCCTGCCACCCCCACTACCTGTTGGGGTCCTGCGAGGCACTCAGGGCAGGGATGTGGCACACAGGGCTGGCACAGAGGAGGCCCCCCAACCTGGATGGGGGGTTAATACAGTGGCTTCATGCCGTGACTAGTCTGTAACCGTCCACCTGCACTCTCCATCCCTTCCCGTGTCGCTCACGGGAACCTAGTCAGCGACATTCCAGTGACTGGCTGGGTCAGGTGAGGGTAGGTTACCGGGATGATCGCGTAGCAGGTCACGTGAGGCCTGGTCACTGGGGCACAACTGGGACTAACACCCTATTGTAGGTCAGCTGTCACTGGAAAATAAAAACGACCCTTAAGTGGAAAAAACACAGCCACCTTCCTGGAGCCACGCGTTTACGTGTCCTCGGGCGTGTTCAGGGGCCGGAGGGAACCCTTCCCTGCCTTCTCATCGCCCGTCAGCCTCCCCATGGAGCCCCGAGGAGGGCTGGGGGGCGGCTCCGCTGTCCCACCACTCCGCACCCTGCCCTCCGACCTCTGCCCGCGGGTGCCCTCCTGCCGGACCGAGGGGCTAGGGAGGAGGGTCCAGCCTGGCGGGTGTGGTCGGGGTGGGGGTGCCATCTCCCTGTGAGGGGGCTTCCCTGGAAGCTTGGAGCTGGTGGGCCTGCACCCGATGGGGTCCCTGGAGCCACTGGTGATTGGGGGAAACTGAGGCCAGAGAGGCTGAGTCTGGCCGTGGGGAGCAGCCCGGTTCCGGCCTCACAGGGGGGCCGGGCTCTGCACAGCCAGGCGGGGGAGCT